ATTATTATATGATATAATATATATATTATTATATGATATAATATATACATTATTATATGATATAATATATACAATATTATATGATATAATATATACATTATTATATGATATAATATATATATTATTATATGATATAATATATACATTATTATATGATATAATATATACATTATTATATGATATAATATTATAATATTTTAAATTTCACTCTCAAAACAGTTGTCATTGCCCGAGTGCAGCTCTGACCTGATGGGATGAACAGGGTCTGGCCTTGCTTCAGGGTACATTTGTAGCACTTATCCACCTGGTCAGCAAAGAACATCTCGCTGTGATTGGACGACGATCTCCAGCGCTCATACAGAGACAGGTTGGCTGAGGTGGGCTTGATGAGGAAGAAGATCTTTTCCCCCTGGAAATAATGAGCCAGCCTCATGACTGAAGTCCGTGGAGAGATAAATGAAGAGCCCATGGTGCAGTAGTCATGCTGGAACTGACCTTCAGAATGTGGTACCAGACGGACGCTCCTCCACACTCGATGTGAAAGTCTGTGTAGCTGTCTTTCACGCAGATCAGACAATACTTTGTGACTTTTGGCTTTCCAAGCAGTGCGTCGTCAGGCCAGTAGTTCTCTACCCAAGACAACCGTCGCACAATCTGAGGACTCTCCACTATAGAGCTCATCCTGTTGAAGCAAAGCTCAGGTCAGGTCTCAGAGCAGGACCGGAGCAGAGCTGACAGACAGACCGGTACCTTGTGTCTGAGAACTCCAGGTTGATGACGTTCAACACCTTCTTTCTGTTGGTGCTGTAGTAATAGTCCACAAACTCCTTCAGCTTCATCTTGCTGTCGGTCTGTTTGGTAACATCGACCACATCGACGCTGTCGTCAGGACCTACAGCGTCGCCGGAACGTGATAAAACACAGCTAAATAAAGTAAAGGCCTAACGTTCATTTAGATTCAGACTCAGGTCAGCGTCTGTGCAGAACTCATGCAGCTGGAGCTTTCAGGTCAGACTGAACAAAAAATAGAGAATTTGCATTTCCTGAAAAATGCACTGGGAACAACTAATGCTGAAGAACGTGCTGAAAAACAGTGGCGATTAGCTAAAACATGCTGAAATGTAGCTGAAATGGAAGAACAAGCCTAAGTTAGCAGAAGGAAGCTGAAAGAACACTTATTTGCTGAAACAGGTTTAAATATGCAGACATTAACACAAAAACTAGAGAATTAGCTAAAAAAGCTGAAATTAGAAAAAAAATGCTGAAAAGTAGCTAAAAAGGCAGAAAGAATTCTAAACTACCAGAAGGATGTCGAAGGAGCTGAAATGAGCTAAAAAAAAAAAAAGTAGAATTAGCTGAAAAAGTTAAATTTAGCATAAAACAGCTAAAAGTAGCTGAAATAGCAAAAAAAGTTGAAACTAGCACAAAAAGGCTGAAAGGAGCATAGCAAGCTGAAATTAGCAGAATGAAGATAATTGGGCTGAAACTAGCATAAATTACCATTAACATTTTGAATTTAGCTGAAAACAACTGAAAATAGCTAAAAAGGTAGCTGAAAAGGTAGAACAAACTTAAATGAGCAGAAGAAAGCAGAAAGAACACGTTTGCCCAATTAGGCTGAAAGAAGCAGAAATGAGCACAAATAAAGTGGAAATGATCTGAAAAAAGCTGAAATTAGCTCAAAACAGCTGAACAGTAGATTAAAGAGCAGAAAAAGCTGAAATTAGCTCAAAACAGCTGAACAGTAGATTAAAGAGCAGAAAAAGCTGAAATTAGCTCAAAACAGCTGAACAGTAGATTAAAGAGCAGAAAAAGATGAAATTACAAGAAGGACGTGGACAGAGCACGTTTTGCTGAATTAGGCTGAAAAAAGTTTAAATGAGTGCAACAAATGTGGAATTAGCTGAAAAAGTTTTAATTAGCATAAAACAGCTATGTAGAAGCTGAAACAGTAGAAAGTGCTGAAACATGCAGAATTAAGCTGAAATGAGCAGAAAGCAGAAAAATGCTGTAGTTAGCAGAAATAATGTGAAAGGATCAAACAACAGCTGAAATGAGCTGAATATTTGTTTGCATTTGCAGAAGCACACTGAAAGAAGCTGAAGCAGAAGCAACAGTGTGAGGAGCAGTAAAAGGTTGAAAACACATCTGAAGATGTGAAGGATGGAAAATGAGCTCAGTTCATTTTATATGAGAAAATGGTAGAAAAGGCTAAATATTTCAAAGAGCTAAAGTTGCACCAACAGCAGGATTGACCTGAAAGAGCTGAACGTTTTTTGATTTGCTGAAATAGATTGAAAAGTGTGGGCTGAGAGTCACTGTGAAAACGTACAGAAGAAGAGAGGGTCCCAAGCGTGAGAGCTTCAGAAGCAGTCCCTCACAGAACAAGCTCACAACATGTGTCGGTTATTCCCACAACACATTTCAGTAAAACTGACAGTTACAGAAACGTTTTGTGTTTTTTAATGTTATTAACTGTGGCCCTCTTCTTGAACTGTCCGTCTTCAAAGGTTCTCTGAGCTTCGTACCGATATAGTTTTCCACATCACTGATGTAGAAGGTCGGAGCAGGCATGGACATGCACAAACCGTCCTTCTTCTGAACCAGGATTGGGTCGTTGAAGCCATTTTCCTCCAGGTAGTCCATGGTCAGCTGACTGCCGCTGAGTTTCACCACAATGTCGTCAGCACTGAAAGCACAGAAACAACAGAACCTGGATTAAGAGGACCGGCCCTAAAACAAGCCCAGTGAGCTGAAGACATCTCCTCAAACGTAATCACACAACGCCTCCCAGTGGAAGCACATGGGATGTAGCTTTACGTTTCAAACAACTGTGGAAAAATAACAATTCATTCATCAATCTGACAGAAACTTAATTAAACATTTCATGCAACTTTTATTTCTACAGGTTAGTCTCATTGAGCCTCAGGAACTCATTTACAAGAGACCTGGTTTAAACAGAGTGATGGCACAGTGGACAACAAGAAAATACACTATCACAAGGATGTGTACCAACTGAGAATAACAAGTGAAAATATATACTTATACACACACACATATATATATATACATATACATATATATATACACACACATATATATATACATATACATATATATATACACACACATATATATATA